CACGATACTGTGGCTTCCTTTTGCAGCTCAATCACTCTTCTTTCTTTGAGGCAGAAAATGATTAAATGATGTTTAGGCTCTGTGGCTCAGTCTGGCCACTGCTTTTCTCTGCCTTTTCTCTCCTGAATTCCTAGACTCTTCCTCTACTCTTCCAAACACCACGGGTTCCAAGGACGCAGCTGCTGAATAAAACGCTGGTATTCTGTTCAGACCGTTCTCCTGTGGGGAAGATACCTCTGGCTAAGAAATAAAATGAGCTAAAATGAGAACTCTTAAGAGGAGAAGTAAGGAAAATGTTTCCGTTTCAGCTAATTTATGGCCTCTGGGCCTGCCTTGCTGAGGTTTCTTGGGAATATCGCTCTGTCAGAATTTAATTCTTGGCCCGGAGTCATCAGTGTATGTGGGCTGTCACACGTGGAATAGCGAGGGTCTGTTATGGGCACTCTCTCAAAATGGCTGGATGGAGATTACTGAAAGGAAATGTGTAGGGTTTTTCATCGGCCCCTCTAATACTCTGAGGTGTTGTCTGGAAGAAAGCAGTAGACGATCTCCTCTCATACAAAGCACTGAGGATAGGTACACACGTCCTTTTTATTTTCTGACAACGCTTGTAGGAGATCTGGAGGCATTCTTGGAGGAGATGATGACAGAGGCCAGTGCCCGCTTTCTATTTATTATTATTAAGTTAAAACAATCTTTAAAAAACTGAACTCCTGTGGGGGAGGGAGTCTAGCCACAGAGGTGTCCATAGGCCCTGGCGTCAGCGGGAACCCTGTTATTGGCTCCTCTTGTTTTATGTCCTAGGCAAACCAGGCACAGCATTAAACTATCATGACCCTGATTAACCGAGCCTCCTCCCTGATGCCTTCCAGACGCTTGGGAGTTCAGGTTCTTAGCCAGCCCTCCCTTTGGTCATCCTGGTTGAGGTCTGGTCTATCTGGAGGCATCAGGCAAATCTGCAGGAGAGTACTGGAGAAGAACGCCCTGCAAGGGAGGCCTGTACATCATTTTCCTGCCATAATGCACACCCAATTTCCTGCTTAGAACAGCTATCAAAACTGAGCCCCCGTTAATTAGGCAAGAGTTTGGGTGCCAGCTTGGCTCCCAAACAACTATAGAAGTGACTTTCTCTTATTAGGCAGTCATGCCTGATTGCTGCCACTGAATCCAGAAGCATGCCTCGTCACTGGGCAAATAACTCAGCGAGAGGAAAGAGTGGGCATGTCTTGAGGTTCCCTTCTGGCAAATTGATGGCTCTTAGACCCTCCTCCTGATGCCATATTTATTGGGCAAAATCTTGGGGGTTTTCTAGCCCCAGATAAAGCCAGCATCCAGCATCCTGTCTATTATCCAAAAGGTAAACATGGCTGCGGGAGCCGGTGGGTCAAAAATTGTGGTCTCTCCCGCGCATCAAATGCATTATCTGGAACATGGTTATACTTTCATAGCAGGAATGCCATGTTTCTGTATTGTGTGCACAAGTTTAGTCTGTGTGTGTGTGTGTGTTTTCTCTGTAATAACAATGCAAGTTTGCTTTCCTGTAGGATGAGTTCATGCTCTCTGAAGCCAACGTGCATTTTTTGCTTGCGTTTCAAGACAGGAGAACAGCCCACTGGCCACTCTGGTCCTTATTTTGCAGAAATGTCTTAACAGATCCCCATAGCCCTTCAAAGCCTGCTTTTTCACATTCACCCTCTTTGTCACCGTTCTGATCTGCCTCTCGAAAAATGCTGCAAAGCTAGAAGGTCTGGAGGCTTCTGTGGCAGCTCCATTGGCTCTAACAAGAAAACGGTGTTTGGGTTATTTTGATGTGGGGTTTCCGTTCTCCAGGAGGCATTTGTTTCCATGGGTGACCTCTCCTTGAAGGTCTTTTCTTTTGAGGCACACGTGGGGTGGGCCTAATGCAGATAAGTGTCCATGTGACACTTTTCATAAGAGGCCCCCAAAAGAAGTGGGTCGTGTGCTTATTGCTTAGCGTGAGAGAGGACGGGGCAGCAGTGCTGCTGTGCTGTGACAAAGGAGATGGTGCAGAGAGGGTCTTCTAAGCAAAACATCTTTGCAGGAGATGCTTTAATAAATTAAAGATGCTTTATCTTGGCTAATGTTCACAGCTAAACTCCACACTTTAGATCTCTCAGTCCTGGAGCGACTGGAATTGTAACAAAAGATTCATTTTGAACTTTCCTTATGCGCCTTCGCTCCTGGAGCAAAGATGTGCTGGGTGGAAATTTGCCAGACACAAACCAGTCCCAAATTAGGATCAGAAACCCCCCACTGGGTTGGTCTGCAAAACGCTGCTCTTGCCTTTTCGTTCTGCAGCGGCTTAAGTTTTCCTTCCTCCGTCCCTTCTTTTAAGACGACATCCAGTTAAATTGGCCTCGGCAGGTGAGGCACCTGACTAGGGTGGGTCTGAGAAACGCTGTGTGCACTTAAAAAAAAAAAAAAGAGTAAAGAATTGGTGATTCAGGCTCCAAGATAAAAACAGGTTATATGAACTGGAAAGATTGTTTAGTTTTTTAAATCTCTTTCTCTGTCCAATATGACCACTGTATTCGGTACGATGCATTGTCAAACATCCAGTCATGAGGGCTAGTAACTTTAAACTGCATTTACAGTTCAAAAGCTACCAAAGAGAGACTTATTAGTTCCTCTCTTTTCCCAGACGTTCTGCTTGGAAAAATGCTGAAGGATTTTTTTTTTTTTTAAATCATGAGCAAAACAAAATACATTGAGCGTTGCTCATTTCTTGCCTTTTGCTTCTTGACAGTAAGTTTTGTCAGACTGCTCTGTTACACACTTGTCTTTCCACTGTCTTTATATTTCTGTGCTGCCAGGGACTTGATGCCGAGGAACTAGAAACGTCAACTTCTGACATTTCCTTTTAAAAGGATCTTGGTTTTGGTTCTGCTGTCAGGTAGGGGAGAAAATATATTAGCCAGAATGGGCCGGTGGTTCAATTTGGTGTAAGAACGGTTTCACGATTTTGCGTGGTTCTTAAAGATCATCTCTGTTGACCATGTAGAAATGCACCATGTCTCGGGTTGCTCTTGAAGTGTACTGGAATCCAACCCCATGATGACACAACATAAATCTTTGAATGGATGGGCAACATTTCCACTTTTAAGCCCAGTTCCGGAGTTGTAGGAAAATGCTGCAGGAAGCAGCTGGTGAGACTTGATCCTTCCCCACTTCCAATCTGCTGGGGCGACCATTCCCACGATCCCAGGGTCAACACCTGACGCTACAACTGTATATTCAGCGTTTAGAAAGCAAAGTGGGAAGCAACGGGAAGCAATGACAATATCTGGACAGAAAGGCCCCCTTCCCGGGCTTTGCTGCAAGAGCTGCATCTCTGTGGGCCAACTTAAACAGTGTTTTTCTTTGGGGGCTGGGAGGCAAAGGGATGAGAGAGAGGAAGCAGATTAAATGAGAGAGACAAACTCCCGTTGTGAGAAATGGTCAGGAAGTGGGGGTTCCCAGGGCGCCCCCAGTTCAAGTCACCCTCTAAGCTGGCAAGCTAAGATTTGCAGTTCTGCCTCAAGCCAGTGCTTTGAACTGGATTTGCTTGTCGTAATAGGATACAGAAGGAGAAATTACAGAAAATAAGGAAGGGAAGAGAAGTGACCTCCTTCTATTGCTCTTCAGTGCTGGAGCATTCTTCTTTAATGGGGTGCCTGGTTTGGTGCCCATGCAAATAAGCCAACAGAAATGTAGCTTGTCTGCTTCCTTAACCTTTCCATTTCTTGCGGTACACGGTGAGCTTTTCACTTTACACGACACTTCCTTTTCGGATTGCCTGGAGGCTGTTCTTAATTATCCTAAGCAAAGAGGTGCTACAGATCTGTTTGGGGGCGGTTCGAATCCAGCCAAATGGCAGATAAAAATAGATAAATCTGTGCCAGGATATCTTACCATTTAGCAAAGCTGTGAATGTTTGCGTGAGCGCTGGCCTCCAATTCTTAACACCTTTGGCGCTCCCACAGGCTTTGGGGCTGTAGAAATACAAACCTGTAACCCTCAAGAGACACACCAGTGCCTTTTCCCCTTGGCTGAAAGCGTCCTGTGGGGACCCACCTCTGCCGTGGAGGTATCCGGTGGTCTGTCTGGGGACTTCTAGCGCTGCCCTGCAGTGGCTCTGTAACCTCTGAAGAATGCCTGCTGAAGAGTTGGCTCCCAGGCCGGGTGGATGGCTGCCATTTCTGGCTCCTGTGAAAGAGGAAATATTGAAACCATTTGCTAATGAGGGACGGTGCCCGGGGAGTTCGTGATGCCTTACAGTAACAGTACTGCGGGCAACAGTTTCTTTGCGTCAACCAGCTGAGCTCTTCTGGGCAGCGGAGGGGGAAATTCCAGCCCCGTTTTTGGGGAGGTGCTGCAAAGGCAAACAGAAGTTGTCTTCTCTCTCCGTAGGCACTCAGGGTCCATTTACAAGTGTGTTCCTTTTCGGTCTTGGTGGAAATCTTCTGCATTTTCTTCTTTTTGTAGTATATTTTATCTGCACGTTCATGCTTTGGCTTGGAGTCAGGTTTTGAAGGAAGAATGGAAGTAAGGGGTGAAGCCCACTGGCCCACCACGCTCTCCTTGATCTTTGTTGTAGTAGTAGGAACTTTGGATTGCTGGGGTGGGGACGGGGGAAGGCTGCTCAGTGCTGAATTGCAAGGCTGTGAAGGGCTGTGGTGTGGTCTTCTGCGAATAGTTGTCCCCTGACCCACCATATGTGTTGGTTGAATCTCTGCTTGTACAGAGAGCTTGACCAAGTCCCTTGAAGCGCAGTTGATCCCATCCCATACGGACAGACTCGGTCATCCATGTGTGTGTGAAGGGGGCACAGCTTATTGCCAGAGTCCTAGCTTTGCACACTCAAGGCCCTAGTTTCCACCCCAGCATCTGTTTGATCACTGGTGAAGAGAGCAGCCCTCCCCACCGGTCACCAAGTGGAATTTAGTTGTGTTTGCTGTAAGCGACTAAAGGGTTTTCCCCCCCTTTCTGTTTTTCTCCAGAGTGAACAGCAGCTGGACTGTGCCTTGGATTTGATGAGGCGTCTTCCTCCGCAGCAGATAGAGAAAAACCTCAGTGACCTGATTGATTTGGTAAGTATGTGGGCCTGGAGTGCAGCTTAGGCTGGACCTAAATACGGGGCCCTTCCATGTTTTGCATAAGCCAGTGGAGATCCTATGGAGCCAAAAGGCTGGCTGTGCTTAACTCTTGGTGCCCTCCCAAAATGTTGGGTAACTTCTCAGACATCATGGCCCCTTCTGGGTGTGGTAGCCCCAGCACATCTATGGAGGACCAAATTGGGGTAGGCTGAAAGACACGGTGATGTTCTCCGTTAGCCATTCTATGAGGTTTGGGGTTGTGGGAACATGGGGCCTCGGGTCTTGGTTTTTCTGTCGCCTTCATCCTTGCCCCGATCTCCAGAATCCAGCAAGCGAGTCTCCCCGCTTTTAAAAATGCTGTCCTACTTGAGAGCTGCTTGCCGCGCTTTGCTTGGGAC